ATATATGTAGTTTTGAGCAAATTAAACATTACATGATTTTTTCTTCCAGTTCTAGGGAATAGAACCCAGTAGTACTCCACCAGTGAGCTACAACCCTGTACTTTTTCCTTTGTTTTATTTTTGAGACATGGTCTCACTAAATTGCCCAGTCAGGTCTTAAGCCTATAATCTTCAATCCTCTGCCTCCCTAAATACTAAGATTACAGGTGTATTTTGTAAAAATCACAATAAGTAAAAAAAAAAGTTTTCTTGTTTCCTGCACATTTCTAATAGGTAACTTTATCTTGAATCTCTGTATATCATTCTAGAGTGTCTTTATGAAAACTCAAGTAGAGGCTGGGAATATGCCTCAGGGCTTACCACTTGCTGAGCATGCACAAGGCCTTATGTTCAATCCCCAGCACCACCACCAAAAAAAAAAAAAAAGTTTTTCAAAATAGAAAAGTAAGAACAAATATAAGCAAACAGGCACACTTACGTTATCATTTCTCACCCTTTTACATAAAAGGCAGCATACTGCATACTCTGTTCTGCATCTTTATTTTCTCAATAAAATTTTATATAGATCTGATGTGATTAATTTTATGTGTCAAACTTGATTGGGCCACTGGGTGCCCAGTTACTTGGTCAAACATTCTGGGTGCTTCTATAAGAATAATTTGGGATGACATTAACGTTTAAATCACAGATAAGCAAATTTCCCTTCAAACTCAAATTGAAGCATTGACTCCTGGCTGCGGAGGTCGCTCGGGGTCAAGCATCCAGGTTCCATTTCTGCTGCCACTTGCCCTGTCAGTCCCACCCTGGGTGCACCAAACTGGCCCCCGAAACCAGGCTTGGTGTCACACGCCTGTAAACCCAGTGCTGAGGAGGTGGAGATGGAAGGATAGCTGTGAGTCTGAGTTGCGTAGTGAGACCCTGTACCAAATACTTTAAAAAAAGAAAAAGAAATATTGACTCTTGCTGTATCTCAAGCCTGCCAATCTTTGGAGGAGAATTATACTGTCAGCTGTCCTGGTTTTCAGGACTTTGGACTGAATCAGAACCAAACCATTGGCCTTTCCAAGTCTCTAACTTCCAACTCACTCTGCAGATCTTGGGACTTGGCAGCCTCCATAACTTGTGAGCCAATTTAGTCTCTCCTCTGGTTCTCTGTGGAGAGCCCTAAAACAAGATATTTCCAGATCAGTACATTGAAAATATTCTTTTCCCTTTTCTTACTTTTGCTTTGCCGTGCATGTGTGTGCGTGCGTGCGCACATGCACATGCATGTGTTGAGACAGGGTTGAACAGTGTTTGTAGCTCAGGATGTTCACAAATTTATAATCCTACTGTCTCAATCTCCTGGGTTCAGGGATTATAGGAGTGCACTACCACATCCAGCTATTTTTAGCAACCTGAAATTCTTTTTTATTTATTTATTTGTGTGTGTGTGTGTGTGTGTGTGTGGCCAGCTCAGCCCACCAGGGGGCGGGGCTGGCTGGCATGTGGTGCTGGGGGATTGAACCGTGGTCCCTGTGCTTTGCTAAGCTTGTTCTAAGTAGGTGCTCTAGACCACTGAGCTATCTCACCAGCCCCAGCAACCTGAAATTCTATTGCACCAAATTTATTTAATCAGTCCTCTATTTTAGATGTTTGAGTGAGTGATCTTTAAATCGTTTAAATTAATAATAATAATGGAACAATGAATAACCTCAGGCTATATATTAATAATATAGTATTATGTATAAGTCCATCTACATGATAAGTTCTAGAACTAGGGTCACTAGGTTAAATAATACATGCATTTGTAATCTTAATATTGTGAAATTGTCCTAACCACAGCCATGGTCCATAACAGAGACTGAAGACTAGTGGCTTGTTGCTTTGCTTTGTTTGGTTTACACCTGTGGGTTATTTTTTAAAGTTGCTGATTTTTGTATTGGTGAGGGTGTGAAGCAACTGCAACTGTTATACTCAGCTAATGGGAATGTAAATGAGAACAAATATTTCAGAAAAGTTTGGCAGTTTCTTGTAAAATTAAATGCATGTCTATGCTATCAGTATGAGGAAGGGTTCAGTCAGAGAAGTTGAAGGGATTTCTGCCAAGGATTTGACTTCAGGTAGTTGTTGGGAACTGGTTCAGGAGTCTCTGCAAAGTTACAGTTTTTTAAAAAAAATTTAAAAATTGATAGAAATTATTAGCACAAAAAATTTTTTTAATGTATTTGGCACAGAGTCTCATTCTGCACCTCAGACGTGTAGTGATCCTCCTGTTTTCAGCCTCCCCAGCACTGGCATTGCAAGTGTGCACCACCATGCCTTGTCTTGGTGGCCAGCTCAGCATGCCTGGGGTGGGAGCCAGCATGGCATGTGGGACCAGGGGTTGAACCTTGGTCCCTATGCTTGGCAAAGCAGGCGCTTAGCCTACTGAGTTATCTTGCCAACACTTTGTAGTTTTTTAACTTAATGGTGGAGCTTTAAGTTCACAGGTCAGGGAGTTGGGAAGGGAAGATGGATAAAGGGGACAGAATAAACTAGAATTATCAGCGTGAGCTGGCAGCCTCAAGGACATACTAGAACTCATGTCAGCACTCACTGCCTCCAATCCCAGTGATGGGGGTGACCTGCAGGAGAAGCTGGGTACCTGGCCTTTGACCCAGGAGTTAGAGAAGTGAAGGCTCCAGGGAGAGGCAGAACATTTGCAGGCCTGGATGGTGCCTCAGTCAGTGAGGTGTGTGTGGGTTGCAGAGCGCCTGCTTGGAGCTCACCATGGTCAAATCCAGTATTGTTGCTGCTTTTTCCTCAAATCTCATGCAAGATGTCTGCTATGACCCACTCTAATTGGAAACATACATGGAAGGGAATTTGGGAAGTATAGTTTAGATTATAAAGCTACCACGAGTATGTCCCAGCAATTTCATTTCTAGATATATTCTTAAATACCTATGTTCACCAAAAAATATGTGCTACATTATTTTTGTGTCTAGTCTCTTTTTTACTTATTTTTTTTGTGGTACTGGGGACTGAACTCAGGACTTTGCACTTGCCAAGCAAGCTCTTATTCTATTGAGTTATCTCCCCAGCCCTAAAAGTTGAGAAGCATTTTTTTTTTTTTTTTTGCTGGCTCATGCTGCCTTAAGGGCAGGTTTGGTAAGGCACGTGGAACTCAAACTGTGGTCCCCTGTGCCTGACTGCGTTTGCATGAGCAGGCACTTAAACAACTGAGCTAACCTGCAGGCCCTGTGTCTAGCCTCTTTTGCTTGACATCATCTGTGAGAATCATTTATGTTGTCCCATGGAGTCAAGAGGTTGTTCTCTCTCACTGACCCACAAGTGTGTGCAAATAAAGTACATTTAATGTACCCAAAAGCCCATGTGCTAAAGGCATGGTCCCTGACCAGGGTTACTGGGAGGCAGTGGAAACCTTAGGAGGTGCCAGTAGGAGGTCTTCTTGTCATATGGTTTGTGTCTAAATGTCCCCCAAAGACTCACACAGTCACAGGGTGGGCTTCTAGAATTTATGACTGATTTACAATCCAATGCTGGGATTATGGGTATGAATGCTGTGGGCGGATAACCTGCTTTTTCTGCTTTTGCTGTTTTCCACACCATGAACTATTGCCCTCTGCCATGTGCCACTTTGCCTTGGAGCCAGCTGAGTAGGGACTGAAATCTCCACAAACCATGAACTAAATAAATCTTTCCTTCCTTAATTCTGGGCATCAGGTATTTTGCTCAACAACAAGAAAAAAAT